AATAAAAATGATAAAATGTTAAATTACTTATTTTTCGTATCAAGAACAGCAAAGAAAGGTTTGATACTGTTAATAATGTCAAGAAATAATGTTTGTTTATTACTCTATACATTATTAAAATTATTAAAGTTTTTTTTTCTTACTCATGAAATCGGCAGAGAAAGTATCAACATTAGCAGTACAATCAACCATTTTTGCCATTTGAATTTGATGATGGAAAGTTTACATTCCGAAACGCTCGAGTTATTGGGTTTCATTTCTAGTACAGCTAACTAAATGCTGTGAACATAATCAAAGATGATATTAATTTTAAATACATTAATAATCTAAATTAAATAAAGCATATTTTAAAATATTATAACATATGTAGATATTTCAAACATTTTTATTTTTAAAGATATTTTGCTAATTTTTGTCGGATATAAAAACAAAGCTAACAGGTCCTGCCATCTATCCAATATTGAAACAATCAATTATTTGGGATTTAATTTTAATCAGGAAGCTAAGTTAGTAAACACGTTACCTGAGCGTACTGTGGGATGAAAAATAACTTTAGTAGAATATTAAAAACTACGAATTTTTGTATTTTGTTTAGTAAAAGGTATAAACTAAATTAATGGCATATGCTTTCAAGAAAAATTATTTTTACCAAGATATTACAATATACAAAAGCTGGTTTCCATAGTATTTTATGCGATTTAATCAGTTGTGAAAAGTTTTGTATTGTCTGTTGACATGGTAACTTGAGATGAAACAACGTTCCGTGTTTCTAAAGCATGGGTGGAGTCACGTAATATTTGTGAACCACTGAATTGTCAGGCTAATTCTAGTAGCGGCTTCATGGTTGGTGTAGTTTTTTGACGGTTACAGTTATAGGGATCTATATTAATAAGTAAGCCTTGTGAGTTATATTTTACGTACTAAACAGTAATACAGTAATGAGCTTTCTCGACAGTTTAAAATATTCTCGCTTTTGAAAATCTTTAGATGGAACTTGAACTTCGAATACTCGTAGGTATTTATTTTTTTTTATTTTGAGACATAACTATGATTGCCCCATACTTATAAAGAAGAAACAAAAAGCTTCTATTAAAAACATATATGTATTATTCTGTCTTTAAAACGTACTGTAAGAATAAGACTTGAAAAAACAAACGCACGTGTACTTAAGTTTGAATCAACGGGAACTCTGCGTATGATGCTAAACAGTGACATCAAGTTTTAAGTTTTGTATGAGACAAACCTGTTACGTCTCCGTTTGTTAATTAACTTTCTGTAACTTCGTCCCGCCGAACCTTTAGCGACACAAGTTCTTTACTTAATAAAACTGGT